CAGCCAGGGGCTGCAGGGCTGAAGGGCGGGTGTTTGCTGGCCTGGGCAGCCTTTCCATCCCTCTTATCTGCTGTGGTCCGGCAGGATCCGGGCGGTTTCAGGGTGAGGTAAGGGCTGGGAGCCCAAGCTGCAGCGCCAGCACCTGAGGCAGGCGGGTTGTCAGTGGTCTCCTGGGACCAGCAGTGGTCAGGGAGCTCTGCAGGAGCTCGAGAAAGAACCTGGGCTGGGCAGACACCAGCCTCGCCCCTTGTAATCCGCAATTTTTCAGTTTCCTTGAAGTGTTTGGCCAGCAGAATCCCTAGTAACAGCTCCTGTTTACAGACAGCTCTGCCATACAGGCAACACCTCCCAGTCCTTCGGGGTCACTGGTTAATGATGACACCAGCTACACCACGTCCCTGGGGGTCCTTCCAGATCATGCGTGACCACTCAGGACCAGGACCTCTGAGCTTGGGACTTCTTAGGAACCAAGCTGGGGGAAGAAGGGAGGGGACTCTGCTTGAACAGAGATGAGCTCAGTCGGGGCACAACGGTTTTGTAACCTTCCTTCCTGAGCAGATGCAGGTCTCCAAACTCGGATGCTGGAGACCAAAGCGTCCTACTGGGTCTGGGCAGCTGCAGTTCACAGCAAAGGGAAGTCCTGCCTTGAGCAAGGAAACGAAACGAGACAGACCCACGTGCCTCAGAGGTGAAAGCAAAGGGAACGGCTCTGTCCATGCCAAGAAGGACCTGCCCCTCAGTGGGGCGGCTCACCGAGCCAGCCGAGCCCCAAGGTGTCCTGTCTGAGTCTCAGCGTGTGCCAGACAGCGAGGTGCTCCCAGCGCTGACCGCAGAAATTACCCCACACAGCACAGGAGGCCAAACTGGCCGCTCCTTCCCTGCCCCTGAGAGAGACAGACATACCCAAAGCTGGTGTCAGGGGGTGCTCACAGGGCTCTCTGGCGTGCACTGGCCAAGACCTCTGAAGAGCAAGGCTCCTTGCCCAGCCCTGCAAGCTCTGCTGGGCCTTGGGGCAGTTGCTAATTCTGTTTCTCACCTCTATTTTTGCAGTAGAATAGGTGAGAAAAAAACCCTCAGAAGCAGTGCTCTGATGAGTCACTATAGAAATAGCTCTGGGAACATAAAAGACTCCTTTGTGTCACTATAAAGTACATTATCAGGCTGGTACAGCAGGCAAAAACACAAAAACTATGGATCACTTACCCAGTTGCAAAGCACAGCGGTGCCCTGCCCTGAATTTAAGCAGCACATGTAACCTGGTCCATTCTGGTTTCAAGCTCAAAGGCATCAGGTCGATCCTGCGGGTTAGCAGCCAACATGTCTTTCAAGAGCTGCTTGATCCCCTCAGACATGGAAGTCCTGCGTTTCTGAGGGATGTGCAGCTCCATCTTTGGGTTTTCTAGCAGCGCTTCCCCAACGGGCACAATCTCAGTCCCCTGCTTGATGTAGGTCCCCAGCAGCTCCTTCTTGGTCTCCGCATCGATGAACGTTATCCTCTCAATCATGGCCCAGATGATGATGCCGAGGGCGAAGATGTCAGCCTTGGCGGTGTAGTGTCCCTCCCAGACCTCGGGCGCCATGTAGAAGTCGGAGCCACAAGCCGAAGACAGCCAGTACTTGTTCACATTCACATTTTTGTTCTCATGCCCGCCCTCCTTGCCCCGAGCAGTCAGGCCAGCGCAGACCTTACTCAGCCCGAAGTCGGCCACCTTGAGAACGGGGGTGCCGGATTTCTCGGTGATCAGGATGTTGTCTGGTTTCAGGTCCCGGTGGACGATGTGGTTCTTGTGCAGGAAGGCGATGGCGCTGGTCAGCTGGAGCATGAAGCTCTTGTTCGTCGCCGGGTCGGGTCTTCGCGAGAGCACGTACTGGTTGAGGTCTCCCCCTTCGCAGAACTCCATGACAAACCACAGGTAACAAGGCTCCTCCGCGTAGCCCAGGATCCTCTCACCTAACCCAAAGGGACAGAAGCAAGAGTGGGTTTTTCAGGCACGTTACAAAACTTCCACACACGCTCAGCGCGGGCAAGGAACGGGTCTGGTTTATGCAAAACTTGCGGAACGGGACCAGGACCTACGGCACCGCAGGGTACCAGCAGCCACGCTGGCCCTGCCGCGGCTTCGAGTGCCTTTAGGATGCTGCAGAGTGCCACGCACCAGCACCACGTTGATCCGAGGCCGCTGCCTGGAAGCCAGCTTCTGCCCCGGGAAGGGCAGGCGTGCGAGCGAGACCGAGCACGCGCCTTCTCGGGTGCTTGGCAGGGCACTTGGAAGCGGAGGGTTATTTTCCTGCGCTGCTGTCGGGCGATTCTCCCCAGGCTCTGACAGCCAAAGCAGCAGAGACTAAAAGCACAATTAGCAGGAGTCTACAGGTGGGGGGAGGAAAATTAGCTCTACGCAAACGTCAGCTCTCCCACCCGAGCTCTGCTGCAGGAGGCAAAGGCTGGCTCATACCTCACGCTTTACCAGTACTAGTGGGGAGTAAATCTGCCCCTTCACACAGCTTTAAGTGCCAACAAGTCTTTAAAGAGAAGCAACCGGAGGTCCAAGCAGCAAACTACAGCTAAGCGCAACCTCAACCGCCCTCAGAACTGTTGCCTCGCTCGTTACTGCTGCTACTCGATAATTACGCCCCGAATTCTTCCTTCACCGGACAATTCGTTGAGCTCAGAGCATCTCAGGTCCAACTCACAGCATCTGGGTTGTGCTTCACCACCTCCCTGCCAAGGCAAACCACTCTCTGGCACATAAACTAGACACGTGGGGAAATGAAACAGCATCATATCAGTTAACGGGGCTGGGTTTGCCGTCGGC